TTTGTTTCTGATATACCAGCCGTTGCTTCAAATACATCAGTCAATGATTCTCTATCGGATGATATTTGTATGTTAGCTATAGACGAAATCGAAAAAGTTTAAGACGCTATTTCAGGTTAGTTTACTTTTAATATTAAAGATGGAATATAATTTTCAATTTTATTTTAAGTACAATAGTTGGTGTATTCCAACATTGCACCTGTTGTTAACCCGTTTGGTAGATTTAATTTTAAAGATTTTATATGATAATTATTGTATTTTAAACGATACGTAATATTTTTATATTATCATTGGTATAATAAAATAGAAAATTAGTTTTTCTTTAGATTTATTTCTTGAGGGTTTTTTATTTTTTATATTATTTTAAAAAATTACACTACGACCGATAAGGGGAAGAGTGTCTTCATCGCGAACACCGCATCAGCAGTTAGGGTCAAAAAGTCACGTATGGCTTTAGTGCAGTCTCCAGGGTTTGTGGAAATCTCATTGTTCGTGGCTCAAAAAGTCACCTGGTATTTTACAAAAAATTTTGACTATGTTTAAAATTACATCAACTTTCTCCATTCATTCAAACCAGTTCTGTCAGCCATAATGAAAACTCGCGATCAGGAACATCCAATAAAATTTAGCTTGAAGCTCGAGGCACGTATAACTGACCTAACGTCGCAAACTCGTCCGTAAATAGAGCGTTTAGAATATCAGCGGTTAACATTTTTTCTGAAAGCAACATTGATGAAATTATTGAAAGGGATTATATTAAGTTGCTGACCGAGGAAGAAACTTATACTGGCAGAGGAAACGGGTTTATCCTAGAGCCAATATACGGGTTTTTACTAGGTATATATATATATATATATATATATATATACACACCGATAGCTGCCTCATCATATATAAAATTACTGGCATATATAGATAGGAAACGAGCTACAATAAACCCGAAAAACATAGAACGGAAGCGCTTCAAGTGGACTATATTAGCGAGATATGTATCAGTACAAAATAAATTCCACGTCGGTGAAAATAATAAACAGCACGAAGGAAAATTTAATTTCGAAGGTATATCGTTATCGATCCCGATTTCAGATATTGTGAAATTTGAAAAAAATAACATTAACGTATCCGTTAATATTTACGGGCTGGATAAAAAATTTCAATCACCTCAGAAATACCCGACGTATGAAGTGTACCCGCTACGTGTCGTTGATAACAAGAAGCTGACTACTTTGTCTTGTTGTTGGTAACGGATGGAAACAACACGCACTATATATATATTTCTGATTTTTCTAGACTTATAAGAAAAAAAAAACAGCTCACAATGGCTGTGTTATATTTTATAAGAGGTGCTTTACGTCGTTTGATGATAGGCGACATAAATATAAATTGAATGAACTTGAGGCATTAAATCAAAATAGTCTAATATGTGGTGTATATAAGCCTATGTTACAGGTGATGCTGAAAGAGAGCGAGTATCTACAATTTCAAGTGTGGAGAAACACACCGAGACACCCCCTAGTAATTTATGCAGATTTCGAGACGATACTGATGAAGGCGGATGAGAAGAAGGGGGAAAATACAAATATAATATATAGGCATAGAGCAATGAGCTATGGATTCATTGTGAAGACGAGCAATGACGTACCGACATAGCTATTAGCGAGACACGAGATACCAACAAAACCAGTATTATACCAAGGAAGCAAGAATCGAGAAGATGTGGTGAGGTATTTTTTAGAAATCGTATCTAAAATAGCAATAAAGATAGAGAAATTATTGAAGACGAATATTCCGATAAATATGACTGTAGACGACATGCATATTCATGAAGTAGCGATGCACTGCAATCTATGCAAAATCAAATTTACCTCACCCTCGTACGCAACCTTTGTATAAGGAGCGGGTGACCAAAATGATTATATAAAATTATTAACAGGTTTTGTTTTTAATGCACCGTCGTGCTACAAATATATATTAATAAAAAACAAACCTTTGTATACAATTCATTATATATAATAAATATGATAATATAGAAAAAGAAAAACGGGCGCTCAAATACAAATTATATATATATAACAATTATAAAATAAAGAAGATGCGAAATGCATATATATATATATAGAAAATACAATAGTACCCTATAATTTTGTTGTAACGGTTATCACCGATAAGAAGTATAATAAAATTAATAGCAACGATACCGTCCGGTCGTCCGCGTCACCAACGCCTGGATCTTCAACAACATGAATACTGGGCCGATTATAAAAATAATACTATATAATATATATCGCGGTCAGGTACTTGACCTTCGAGTCGCACGTTATAAATAATATGATCAAAAACAATAATAATGTTTGTAACGACCGGATTAAGTGAGCGATGTCGCGTAAATTTAAAATAATGATATTGTTCGCACTTTTAACGAATATGAAAAAATATAAGTATGAATATAATGTAATTAACTACCCACGCGATATAGGGCAACACAAAATATATATGGCTAAAAAACACCACACAAAATAGCCAATAACGACGGCACTAAATGTCGCAACGTGACGAAAGGCGGCAATAGCCAAAACACCGTACAAAAGGAAAGAACCTACACAGAAATTGCAAGGACAAAGTCTCGTCCGACCGTCGTGCGGAGAGAAAAAGGACTGGTTCAAAAGATACATCCACCGCTGGACAAAAAACGCCGATTGCACACCAACAAGTGGAGAGGAGGGTGACGATAAAGTTCGACGAGCTTTTACGTACAAAGGTCATTGGATCTCGACATCGAAATATCGCCGAGCAACGCGATAAGCTAAATATACCTTAAACATGAGGTGTTATATAGTGGGAGTAAGCGATTCATATAATAAGTATGCTTAGGACCATTAGTTAATTTAATGACATTTCGAAAAATTTGAACTATATTATTCCATTGGTAATACAGACCTTAATGATATTTCCAAGTTATTACAAATGTGTATCAATACATTTAATATTGTAAAACACTTTTGATAAAATTACATTTTATCGATTAGAACGATATTAAGGCATTTGGGTTTTCTATACATTTTGCAATAATAAAGATTCGATTATCATTAGTTAATTTAAACATTCCAAAAAATATTAACGACGACTTATATTTTAGAATAATATGAGAAATATACTTGAGTATATCAGTTTTGATTATAAAGTTTAATGGGTTAGAGTAATGTGCGCTAAAAAATATATGTCAGTTACGTAGTAGAACGGGCGGGGTTAGGTGTGGTAATAGAGGATACAGGGTGCGGCAGGATGTGGAATTTGATATCAGAATCGGCTATTACAGAGTGAATATAATAAAAATATTTGATAACATAGTGATAATAACAAAGTAATAAAAATATTTGTGATAAAAATCGTGTATGATAAGTATTTTTGTCATAATGCGAAAAAAAATTGATAACTGATAACAACATTTTTGATAACTGATAATGTTGCTCACGTATGTGTGGTGGGTGTGTTGTGGTGGAGTCTGGTGGTGGTGTGGGGATGGGGTGATATGTCACACACGTAGCGGATCGGGCGGCGGACTAGGGACTAGGAACTAGGTGACAGAATTCTCCTTTTCATACTACTATAAACATATAAAACCTGTTGATAATCTAAAAAAAAGCGTGGCATTCTAAGTAGAACTGAAACAACAACAGCTAGAAATGTATATATTAATATATAAGAGCGCATATTCACGCAGTGATGTACGTGGTAATACAAGCGAAGAATAGACACGGATATCGCAGGCAAATAACATGTGGAGTAGATGTGTATAACATATTCGAATAGGTAGTAACAAAAAGTTGATTTCTACGTCATCATAAAATAAAAAGCTATGCAGCTCGTAAATAAAATCAACGGCTGGCGACAGACTTGTCTTAAACTAGAAGTTAGACGCAGTGCTTTTACTCGTCTCACACGTGCTTGCTAAACCGTGATTGAGCGATGCTCGTTCGGTATGATGCACTCGACTGAAACGGGCTCGAACAATCATATTATGATAATTTATTAAATACTAATAATAGTATAATACAATAGTTGCCATGTTTTCTCAGAAAATTAAATCCACCTACCATAATACTAAAATTTAAATAGATTGCCTTAACTTACCTTAACTAATTTATTAATATTGTCAATATTTACTAATAAATCGTCTCCACTCAGAATCGTCTTTCGCGTACAAAGTTAGTTTATCATTGAATTTAAATTTAACACATCCATCACAGTAATCTACTCGTCAACTAATATACAGTAAAGCATTTTCAACTTGTCTACCTTTTTTTAAGATCTTATTGACTCATAAGATAGGTATATTACCTTATATATTTAGTATGTACCTAATTAACAATATACACGATTCAAATGATTATTTATTCAACTACTTATATCAAAGTTAATGAACTGTAAATTCAATATTTATGTATCATATGATATTTTAATATTTATGTTTATAATTGATGAAAACAAAGTATGCTGCAAGGACTTCTTTTGAATAATTATAAAATAAATTATAATATAATTAATACTGATTTATTTAACGTAAGTATTAATTTTACCATGAAATTGAATTACTTGTAATTTAACAGTTGAAAACCCATAAAGTATTAGAACATCAAATGTATACTTCTGAGTCAAGGGCTTATAGAAAAAGTTTTATACTATCCCTTTGAGTCCGGCTATGGGAAAAAATGAAAAAAGTAAAAATTTTTTTTGACAGAATTTTTTATTCTGGTCCAATTAAGGTATCCAATTTTTTTCAAAAATTTTTTTTTGACCCTCCTCCTCTATTTTGACCGGGACTCATATGTCCCGCTAGCGCTCTGTGCATACCGATTTTGAATTCATATTTATAATTGTAAAATATGAAAAACATTTTAATTTTAATATTATAAAATAAAAATGAAGCATCAATAAATAAACCAATAGTTTAGAAAGTGATATTTTATTAAAATAATGTGTACTATGTACTTCAAATATAATTATTTTTTACTTATATCTATTTGGTGGTAATCAACAAAACAATTTTTTTTTTCATTGCAACATAAAAACACACGACAATGACTACAAGTTGAAGTTGGTCTAGACTCCACTCCTCTTATACTACACAGTTCACACCTTCCCCTTTTTGATCCGAAAGCTGGCCAATGAATACCTCTGAAAAATATATAAATCAAAAAATGTATACTATATAATACATAGTATAATATATTATGTTGTAATGTCATACCTATTACCCAATCTCACGTCTTTAACAATGGACATGGCTTTTTTCCTTCGGTTGCTAGGAGTATTCGGGGGAGTTCTTTTTAAGCATATTGACCTTTTGGAAGTTGGGTCACACTCAGACATAAGTCCGAGGGCGATTGAACGTCGAACTTCTAATACATCCATTTGTCCAAAAATTTGACAATACACAACGTATGCATTTACAAAAACTATGTCCAGAAGGCCCCAGAAAATTCGTAACCACCACTTCTTTGATTTTCGATCAACGCAATATAAAGCTCGCAGTCGGTCCGCGTGGTCTACTCCTCCCATGAACGCATTGTAGTCTTTTACCAATGTCGGACACGTAACATTTGATTTTGAGCCATCTTTTGAAGTTCGTTGCACAGTCGTAGTTTCATTACCATGATAGTTTGATGCCAAGTACACAACTTTATTATCTTTCCATTTAAATATGACGATTCCAGAAGTAGAAAATCTATGGTCGAAATCTCCACGCTTAATATCCGAATCTTTTTTTAGATTTTGTGGCATTCCTTTACGATTATTTCGTATAGTACCACAAGCCAATGTTTGTTCATTTTTTAATCTTTCCAAAAGTGTAATTGATGTAAAATAATTATCAAATATTATGATTCTTTGTTGTTTCCAAAAAGGTTTAGTCAACATAAGTACTACTCTTTCACCCAAATTATACTTATCGAACTCTTGTTCCAAAGTTTCATTTTTGCCTTGGTATACTGAATATTTCAAAATGTAACCGTTTTGGTCAGCAATGCACCATAATTTATAACCGCGTTTAATGGGCTTCATGGGATTATATTGTTTAATCGTGCTTCGACCCTTAAATTTTATCATTGATTCGTCAACGCTTAATTCACGAGTTCCATAATATGCTTCGGGAAAAATTGTATTTAGAGTATCAATCATAGGACGTAATTTATATAATTTATCTTTATTATTATTTGGTAAATTCGCATTGTCATTAACGTGAATATTTGACAATATTTCTCGAAATCGATCCCTAGACATGGCTTTGGAAATCGAACGTACATGTAAATCTTCACTAGTATTCCAATATAACTTATATGATGGTAATTTATTGTACCCCATGCAAAAATTTATTCCCAAAAAAGCATACAATTCTTTTTCAGTTAGCTTCAAATTTTTATCATTTTGTGTTGCATAAAGATTACTTTGGAAAATTATATTGTCGACAATAGGGTGAATAAATTTTAGAAAAATATCAGTAGCAGTTTTGCAACCAGCAAACATATTTTCATTATATAATAATTGTTGTACGTCATATTGGGGCAGTTCAGCAGTAATTACATCTTTTTTTTTCCACTGTCGATTTATTTCGATATTAGGTTCTATAATTTCAGGAATAACATCTCTTTCAACCGGTACATTTACAACAATAGGCATTTGAGAAGTTTGGGACCTCAAAGTTCTAGTATCTACTATAGACGAACCTGATGAAGCACTTTGATTTTGATTATTGCTTTCAGGAAAATCAAAAATAATAAAGTCGTCATTGTTAACTATTTCAGTTACTTCAGAAAGCTGTTCATTACGCAAAAAATGTTTATCAAGTTTTTTTTACCTCATTTTGAGCTTCTTCGTTAGTCAAGATGTCATCCAAATCATATTCATCTTCAGAATCTTCACCGTCGGGTATATCCATTGCTAGCCATTCCTCAAGATCCGATACTTTTTTAGCACTCATTTTGATTAAAAAAAATTTAATTTACACACAAATTAATAAGACATAATAACATAAACTTGCGAAATAAAAAAAGAACACCGAACACGAGACGATTACACAACTTTGATAACATGAACTGCGACAACGAGAACGAGCGACAGCAAGAGCGCACGACACACGTACGGACTGACGGCACATTTGAGTCCCGGTTCATAAATCTTAATTATTTTCGTAAATACTGATAATATGACGATCAAACACATTTTATTTCGTTTCTAAGAAGTATTGAAAAATAAACCCACGATTAGCATCGTCCGTAAACAGATTGTATGCGTGAAATATATATACAAAAATACCATTACTAGCAGATAAGAGTACGGTTTGGTTTTCCCAGCTATAATGTAAAATAACAATTCTAAGAATAAGTATATTTCACTTTTTTTTTTTTCAACGTGTATTAGACGGGACTCTGATGTCCCGCCAGGCCAGAATATATCAATAAATAAAGGTATTTATTTTATATTACCGATTAAAGTGCCCGGGACTCAAACGTCCCGATAGTACCGAAAGGGCTATACTATACTTCACGTATATTATGTAATATTTATGCGGAAACAAAGTCACACAATAACATTATAGGGATATTCTACATTATTAGTTATACTTGCAAGGATTAGTCACTCATGATCAAGAAACAACGCAGTCTTTTCTAAATTAATAATTTACCACTCGCAAACCATTAAATATATATTATTAATTTTATACCATTAAAAACGTAATAGACATTTAAACCAATAATTAAAATTCATGACATATGTGAAGTTAGCCTCCCTTTATCAACAAAATCTAACAGAACAGATTGTAAGTTAAAGATCTTCATTTTTGAGTATTTTTAGTATTTTTAGTTGGTTTTCAGAATTTATAAGTTGGTCCTAACTGAGATATGTGCAGCTCTAGTCTCTAGATATTAATCATCAGTCTCTCTCTCATTATATCATCTGAATCAAAACGGACCGATTGTAAAATAAAGATCTTTAACTTACAATCGGTCTGGTTCGATTCGGACGATTTAAGGAGAGGGGAGGCTAATTTCACAAAATTTAATCAATGGATTTTAATTTTTTTTTGTATTTTAAACAGTTGTAAATAATATTGTACATTTTTATTTACTTGTAGTATGAATGACGTTTTGAGTGCATAGTTCACTTTTCCAGGATTTTAATTTACAGCTCAAGTCAATCGGTCTTATAAATAAGTACAAAAAGTTTTATGTTTATTTTGATCACATAATTGAAAACATGAGAAAAGTGTCATATTTTATGTCAAAGTTTGTTTAAAATAAAAATAAAATTCAAAATCAAAGTATGTCTTTTCATGATACGTATTATTTTTTTTTATTTTTTTATAATAATTTTACTATTTTTTTAATTTTTATTATTTTTATAATGATAGCAATAATTTAAAATTTCATATTCTGAAACAAAATATTTTTCTGAGAATTATGACATTTAAAAAATTGAATTTTGAACGACTATTTAATTGAATATAACTTACTTGGCAGAGATTTAAGTATTTATATAGTTAAAATGAATTACTTAAGTAAATCTACTCATCAAAACTTTAATTACTTTTAAGATATAACTAATTAATTTCTATTTTAAAATTTGTACGTATTGAAGTTCTTAATATTTTTCTTTAGAAGTTTAAATTATTCAAAAAAGTAAAAACTTAAAATATAACAATGATAAATTAATGCCAAAAATATAATTTAAAAAAATATAAGGTTGTGTAATGAGTAATGACTTAACATTAAGTAGGCAAAAATATTTTCATAAATGTTAGTTTTTATTGAGATTATAAATTATAAATGTGATTTGTAAAATTAATTTGATACCAGTATAATTATAAATAAAGTATTTATAATACAGTGGTATTATAAATTACAGTTATAAAAATATTAATAAATTGAATGATATATGGAAATATTTATAAATGATTGATGGATTACTATATGTCTATATGAAAAAAAAATTTAATATATTATTTATTATATTATATTGTTATCAAGAACATCAAAAATATAAATATCAACTTTTATTTTTATTTTTCAAATAAGATGCACTAATAATATTTTGTTTGAGAATATTACACGAAATTCATTAAACATTTTGAAAACGAATTACTCAAAATAACTTAATTTTGTTTATCTAGATAGGATAAGGATGCAGGTGTCTAGATACTAATCGTATTATATTGTATGTAGTTCATCAATTTCAGGAAAAAAAATAATAAATAGTTATATCACGTAATAAGTGTTCACAGATAAAGATAGAAAAATAAAAATATATTGAAAAAGAGACAATTGTTTTTAAGTTATGCAATACTAATAAAAATGATAAAGTAAATAAAAAAACATCCTCTTTATATCTGACACAGAGGACGTGTTTAATGATAAAAACGTACCTACACGCTTAATAACATAATATTTAACGTATCATACACTTATAAAATGTGTATAGGATTAAATTATAATGGACTAGAGAAGATTCGGTTTTCTTCTGCATTTCCATAGTCAGCATCACACGACAAGCTCTTCAGAGAATTCAGTAGCGTAAAAACGCACACAAACACTCCACTTGAAAAATCCTTTCACGTCACCGTCGTACTTGTTGTATATACAATACATTTTATTATAATATGATATAAAATACCATGTCTTCCAAAAACTGTAACGAAGATGACAATAATAATAATAATAACACTACTTACATTCTAAGGCAATATTATGGGTATAATATGATATTTTCTATAGATAAGAAAAATATATTTTTGTATGCACAATTTTTTAGTTGAAATAGCATTGCAATATAAACACTTTATTTTAGATGAATCAAACTTAATGATGAAGGAGCTTAGCAAATTGTAAGATGTAATGAACATTTACTGCTTTAAATAAAATGTTCATTTGTATTTTGTTTAGATTTTTTCCATGGTAATTTAACTGGTAAAAACGCAAAAATAAAAGAAAAATGATTTGTTGCGCCTCACACAGTCATATGACTTATAATTCACACATAAAGAAAAAAGAAAAATGTTTTTCTAAAACCACTGAACTTCCATAACAGACAAAACCAAATTATTAGTTTGAAGTTAAAATTGACACAAAAAATAGCACATGAAAAACGAACACTAGCTGGTATATCTTATTCGGTTTTAATGTGATACCGGTGCTACTGTTATCAAAATATAGTATTGGATCAACGGGTTCTACCCAAGGGACATATACACATATACATGTACATAATACAAAACTTTCATGGAGCGAACAGCACGTCACCATACCTAATACCTATATATATATAATATTATAGTGATTTTAACGAAGATGTGTAATATTATATTGTCGGTGTTTTAAAACGGCTTATACAGTAAACAGTTATACTCTATTTATAATAATATATAAATATAATATAATTTAACATAATTTTGAAAATAAAATATTTATAACTGCTAAAATCGTGTTTGAATGAAAATGATCGAACAATCATACACTTAGAAAATTCAGAATATAAGATAAAGTCAAACACGCTATACTGCGATACTATTTGCATAGTCTAATATAGAATCTGTTGTATTATTGTAGTATTTGTAGTTGTTACGGTGAGAATTTTCGTGCACTGATACAATATTTGCACATAGTTTATTTTAGCAGAAAGTAAAATAAGTAATATGAAGTCTCAAGTTTTGTTGTATTATAATATGAAGAAATAATAATTATAAAAATGTAAATAAATAAAACTATAGTTGTGCTGAAATAAATGAATGATTAACAATATTTAATTGAAGTCTGTTATCTCCAAGTATATTTTTATAAATTTTGATATCAGTATATTATATATATAATTGATATGATATCAATATATTTTGTAAAAATTATTGAATTAAACTCAGTGAAATACAAAGTGGGGGTACTTACAATTATTACAAACACGATTATCAAGTAAAAATTAAAGTGCACTTATCTATACAATTTAATGAATGATTATTTTTTAAACTTTTTTAAACTTTAGAATCTTTAGGCTTAAACAAAAAAATAACTATTGAATGGTTTACAATAACTATTTTTCATTTATATGTATAAGAAGGACTTCATGATACGACGTGTCTTAATTTATATTGAATTTAATGAATAATATTTTTTATTGTATAATAAAAAATGTAGAATCTTATCTATTATTTCGTTTATTTACGCCTACGTATAGTTAATAAGCTATTGTCTATGTTAAATTTATTTTGCTCACATTTGAATGTTATCAAATTTATTTTATTTGTTTAAAATGCTGCTATATACTAATATTCTATACCTAGAATATGATCAGAGATAACCAACAAATATTATTTTTTATTTATTGTAAAATTAAAATTGATTTTTTTGCGTGGATTGTAAATTTTAACATTTAAACCCTAAACTTTAAAAGCTTTAAAAATTTGACTTTTAATATAGACTTTTGGTTAAGGAAATGACTACCAACGTGGTGGGTCTGTAACCTTATTGTACCTGCATTTTACAGTACAATAGTGAATAATTTATTATTAAATTGGTATTAAGAACTACATTTTTGTAATATTATTGTCATATCTAAATGCATGTATATAAAATAACAAACAAGATAAAATACATGTATATAATTTTTAATAGTAGTAAATAATTTATAAATCTAAGAAAAAAGAAGTATATTTCAAAAAGATTTAAAATCTAAAATATACTTTAGAAATTACCAAAGTAAAATAAATCAATATTTTTAATTCAAGCAATATATGGGATATCAATTTAATAATTAAGTATAATAAATTAATAAATATTGAAAACCAAAATAAATATGATTAGTAGATGCTAGATATACAATTATATAAAACATAAATTGTTTTTATTCTATATAGGTAATATTAAAAAAAATATATTGTCCATTTTGAGATTACCAAATATTAATTTTTTTACTGTAAATTTACAGCAAAAAATGTACTCTTTTTTGATATTATTATAATATATATTATATTTAGAGGTCAAAAAAAAAAGCGTGTAACGAAAAAAGCAACGTTTTTTGGTTTCCCTAGCAATATATTATTTTATGAGGTGAAATATAATAGACTGACATGTTTCCAAATACACATTGACATTCGAACACTTCTATGTTGAACATTTATAATCACAAAAATACAAAATTATATTTCGTTCTTTTCCTATCAGGACATAAAATCAGTAATATATCTTATGGCAGACTATAAAACATTACATTCTTATGTTTTTCTTTAAATGGAGAAACTAAACATTTTTTGTTATGTTTTGGTTATTTTTAGGCGGAAATGAATAACCAATGCTATGAATAAATATTGGATTCTGGAGATTCAATTGTTAACAATATTTTAACCAATGTCCGATGATTAAAAAAAAAAAAAAATGTTTATCAGAATAATTTTATATATTATTACTTACTTTAAAATTAATTAATCAACTAAACAATTCCGAAATTACAAACTTTAAAAATTGTACATTTATTCTTTGATATTTGATTAACTTATACGTGCATAATATATTTTTTATAAGGGTGTATATTCTATTATTTGTATTATAAAGGTAGATTTACTGATAAAATTAGTATATGTGATAGTTAAATATTGTTATTAAATAGACAAATAGTATATTACAATATTTAGGATAATATAAGCTTAAAAATGAGAATTTTATCTGTATTTGTACGTTGATATTGCACATGATACTTTATTTTTTAAGGATATTTTAAATAATCAAAAATCACAAAAAAAAAAAAAAAAAATGAAAAATGAAACATTTTTAAAAATAAAAGTACTTACACGTGAAGATTATTCTCTTACCTTTAGGCTAATACTTATTACTCCAATACTAAATACTAGTTTGTTGTTATAATATTACAAAAACTATTTCCGATAGACGAAAATTAGTTATGTTGAACTTTATTAAATAGATACAATAATACAATAAATATGGACAAGGCGTCTTTTTTATTACAAAAAACTAGTAGAAATAATCATGAAATATTCACATTTTAACTTTTATGATTTTCATAAATAGATTATAACATATTGTATTACAGTAGTGGTTCCCAACCTCTCCTATTATACGCCTCCTTTGTAGATTTTCGAAAGTATCGCGCCCCCCTATAATAAATTATAAAAATTGATATTTTTTTCTCTAAGTTTTAAAATAAAAATAATTTAATTAATAAAAATTGTACTTCGTAATAACTGTTTGCGCCTCTCTATCAATGTGTACACGCCCCTCAGTTTGGGAACCAATGTATTACAGTATTGAACTAAGCTAAAGAGTTCTAGAGACGTTGAAATTTAGTGTGTACCTAGTAAATCCAATAATTTTTTAATTAATTTCAACTGGAATTTTTATTGAATAGTGTATTTGAATGATTTTTAAGCTATTTTTACGTTGTAATATTTTTCAGAAATCAAAGTTCTGATTAATTTTATTTTTAAATATGTGGACTCAATTTGGGTTGTGCACCACTTTGTTCAAATTAAACAGCCATCACAGGCATCGTTTATTTTGATATTCATATATCGCATAATACAATAGTCGTAGCATAGCTTATTTGTCAATAGATTAGGGATGATTAAGCTATTTTATTGATTATCTATGTACAATTAATTTATACTTTTATTGCGTTCTATAATTTATATTTATAAAATAATAATAATTATAATACATAAGGATAAGTAGGTACCTACTTATATTATATATATTTAAAAATTTGTATAATAATATTATATTATACAAATTATCACCTAATTAATATATATATATATAAAATACGATTAGTAATAAAATAAATCCTGAATGTAAGTTAAAGCAATATCCCCGAACACTATAGCTGACCTCTGGTTCCTCTTATACGGGGGATGAATTTCATCTCGTCAAACCCTCCCCACCAATTACACACACACACATATACACACATACACAACAGGCAATTATATCACTGGAAAAATTACCATATATTGTACTTTAAAAGGTCAAAAAAACAGAGCGGATTCGTCGAGGTTTGTTTTGCGGTATGCACGTGCACGTATATACCAAAAATCATAGAACACGAAGGACTCCGATGTCGGCGGTGATATCGGTCGCAGCAAGTGGAAAAAAATAGGAGCGAGTGGAGGAGGAGGAGGAGGAGAAGGAGGTGTTTTACGTTATTTTTCTTTTGGTTTTTGAATATGATTTTTCGCGTGAGTCTGTTGCGCTCACGCTCCTCCACCGCCGACCCTCTCACCAACCGCTCTGACCACGGAACACCGCAGACGTCGTCGACCCGTCGTGGAGTCAGTGGTGGTGAGAGGTTGATGTTCGGGTGGGCAGGAGAAATTGCCGTCGTTGCAGGCACTGGCCGCGAAGAATTGGTGGGTGGCCATAGGTGGTGCAGGGATCTCATACCGCGAGGTTACGCAGTACGTGGAGAGCGGTGAGGGACGGGTGATCAGGAGGCCCAGCGACGGTAGTGCGCACGCGCCCGAACCGCTCGCGCATGTCGCCGCCACTGTCGCCGTCAACACAACGCAAGGGCCCAGCGCCGCAGCGCACACACGACCGGCGTCCGTGCGCACACACGTACATCGCGGTGTTGTCGTTCTCCGCCGGTTTAGGAGGTACCAGAATCGTACTTACATAGGTTACCGCAGTCGCGTAGTTGCGCACCATTGTGGTCGTCGTTGTTGTCGTACCGCTCATACCGCGGTCGCAGTCTTAGTCGTCGCAATCGCCGTCGCGGTCGTTCGGAAGTTCACGCGATATCGTTAGTGACCGTGCTAAGTTTTTTCTTTTCTCACACATGCCGCGAAAATAATATTGTTATTATGTATAAATAAATAACGCGGCCAGTGACATATTATAATATCGTTAAAATAATAATTGAATTATCCTCGAGTGTTTCGTGGTTTGCCCAGATTTTTGTGTTATTTCCACGATTTTGTTAACGAAACGATCTATATTATATTACAGCAAAGAGAACTGATCAAAATCACACCTATAACGCATAAAAATACAATTGCATTAAAGTCGATTTTCTTCTGGTCTGTTTCGGTGGATAGCGGAAAAACCCGTAGACCCATAATAGAGTTACGCTAAACTGGTAAGTGCCAACTATAACTATACCTATCTATATCTGGTTAAGAAAATAATAAAATTACGTTTTCAGATAGTATTATTTAACTACTATCGTGTGTCATAAGTCGTATAATTTGTGTAAATGATTTTATTTTAATTCACCAAATTAAATTAAATTGATTCAATAAAATCTATTTTTCTAGGCCTCGATAACCACATTTATTAACCAATTAAGTGTTGACATTTTAAAGTTGGTTTCTACTGTAAATTCACGTGTTCGTACATAACATCCCTTTACTGTGATTGGTTGATATCAATCATAAGCTTTTGATATAATAGTGTATTTATACATTCTTACTAAAGTTAAACCATTTTACCCTGTTATTGGATGCAGTTCAAAAATTTCAAAAATACGAACGTATATATTTTGTAACAAAATATAAGGAATGAAATCGATTAACATAATATACTTTATAACTATTTGATCTCAAATCCGTATTACCAATGTTAACCAAAATAAAATACGAGTTTAAGATGAACGTACAAATTTATCACGCACGCAAATGCAAATTAGTAGTGAATAAACTGATAACTCATCTTAATATTTATAATTGCTTAGTATATTTGATTAACTGATTAATTACTGATCAGTAATTATTTCATGATTTAATTAAAACAGTTAAATAGTGGAACTCTGCCTTATAACTAAAATAATTAAATATTTCATAAGTTTAAATCCATGGACAACAAAATATTGATAAGACATTACCTACAAGTTAAATTTATTTAACTATGACTTAGTGATACGAAAATAATATTATTGTAGTAGTAACTGGGAACCTGGCTCTACAAATCGTCACATATTTTATAACAATAGTCGTTATTAACCTATCGTGAATATCGTGATTATTATAATTAGGTACTTCAATGTTTCTTTCGACGTTATAAATGAAAAATAATATTAGTGTTTTTCTTGTAGCATGTCAGTTAAGTATCTATCCTACAAAAAATAACAAAACAATTCAATTTTTGGTTGCGGAGAATATTAGCGTATGCTACTATTATAGCGATTATTTTAAAATAATTAACAATTAAAATTGTTTCGTGAGAATTTTAGTGGGTAGACCAAGTTAGGTAGACTAGTTTCCAATATATTATTGGTTGCATACGAATTGAGTCTCAATAAAATCTTTTAGAACGGATTGAGTCCCGTTAAATTTTAAAGGTAATATTAATTGATTTCATGTCTTAGTATTACTAAATATCACAAAATGTTGAACAAAAAGTTTTTTTAAATGATTATTTAAAATCATTTAATAAATTTTAAATGTATAAATACGGCACAATTATTAATTAATTTAAAATAATACATTTATAAATTTAATGCCCTTTTACTAATCAGTTATGAATAAAAACTTAGCGATTTGGGGTTTTTTTTAAGATACATATTTTATTCTTTAATTTCTTTTTTTTTAGTTATAATACAATATCTTTTGGTTAGGCACAAGCAATGTACTAATTCAGTGTTTAATATATTGGTATTCCTATTTCAATCAAAACTGTAGAAATACACAACATATCATATAATACAAAATATATAATCTTCGGAGTCAATTGATTTATTTTTATTTTTCCACAAGTAGACTCAATTACTATGTTTTTTGTTTTTTTTAATATTGGGACTCAATTGGTATATTTTTCATTTATACTGGGACTCAATTACTATATTTTTTTTCTCATTCAGGTACGGGTCTCAATTAGTATGCAATATTGCATACACGTTACATATTGCATACATTGATTATTTTAAGCAATTTCTTGGGAAATGTAACGTAATTGACCTGGGTTTGATAAAATAAATTAATAATGATAGAATAGTATGATTTGAAACGTATGAACTTAAACGTAGTAAAAAGTATATGTATTTAAAAATGACGAGTTTCCTATTTTTAAATATTTATTTATCAATTTATCTTTTATTGATTGGTTTATGGTAAAAGAATCACTCTGTATATATAACATTTAGTATTTGTTTCTTTGTATGTGTGTTTAATATATATAGGCGTGATCGACCGATGGTGAAAACTTTTCCCTCCGCTTCGCGAGAAGCCCTATGTGGTCCTTAGGGGGCGACACTCAACGTGAAAGTACATATATTATTATAATGTACGCTTCGAAGAAGACCCGTCGAAACGCCGCCACCGACTTTTTCATAATATTTTGTCTATGTCGACTTCAAGTCAGTCTGTTATTGCTATTGTTGTTGCGTTTGTATAAAATGTGATTAGGTCGTAATTTAGTATCGTTTAGGGAGACATTTTTTTATTTTTAACTGATTCATTTGAATCATACGATCACATTTAAATTATCACGAGCTACCTCAAACGATCTAATAATTTTTTCATACATATATGTACTATAGTACGTAATACCGTTGATATAAATACTAGTATTTATAATCAATGGTAATACATGCAATACCATATTGTAGAGGTACCTTTAACAATGTAATGGTTTTTTATATTATTCTTCAAACAGTGTCCCACATATATTTAATTTAAGTACACTAAAATATATTTATTCGAAATGTTTTTATAATGGTTTAAATATACCATAATAAATTATGTATGATAATATATTATACACGGATACGTATTTAATATATTTATAAGTTTTAGAATATTATATATAAAAATGTAATTGAGAAGAGATATATTTTTATAATAAAATTTATTCGTGTACTAGAAAACTTTCATAAAAACCATTTTTATCAAAAGCGTTGTGGAATAATTTGTTTAATTTTTAATTTTGATGTATCTAAGTACACAGTAAATGAAAGTCAAGGAATTCGGGTTACATTCAACACAATAGTAAAGTCAATAATTTACTATAGTTACACGTCTGTCAGGTTTAAAAAAAAAAATAAAATAAAATAAAAATAAAATAAACACTTTTCGGACCCGCAATACTTAGAAGTTTTTTGATTTAGAAAAAACTCGTACATTCATATAAATTAACACATGCGTGTCAAACTTATAATATTAATAATACTCAGTAAATCCATTCTGTTGATGAAAAAAAGTACTTTTATCATAATAAATGTTGGTACATATGTTTTGTTTTACTAGATACCCTTTTTTTATTTTATTTTTTTTTTCAGTAATTTAGTATTTTTTATGGTAACAACTGAAAACGAATACAATCAGAATTTGGTGCTCGGCTTTAGTTTAAGAATTATAATAAATTTAAATTTATCCTGTACTTCATAATACAGCTAGGTGCGCTAAATTATACTATAACACTACTTTTTATTCATGAATTTTCCAATAATGTATAATATATATGTATTAACAGTATTAGATATTTTGAATTTTATATATTATTACATATTCTTACGTAAATAATTCAAAAGAAGTGAATAATTAAAAAAATATTATCTTATTTAAACGTATAAAAGATATGTTGATATAAAATCCTTACAGAAATTTATTCTAAAAAAATGTTGATATAATATCGACAAGCTGAAAATGTATACTACATTCGTTACTGTTATTACGTATATTTTTATTAGTGATTAAAATAGTCATAGTTTTCAAACCTGTGATTGCATCTGCTACTCATAAATTTATTATTTTTGAGTTTTTAATTTTTTTTTTTTTTTGTAATGGTTTTTATAAAATTAATTTTAGTTTATATAGTAATTATTGCTTAATAATTTTTTTACGTGTCCTATCGTAAAAATTGTCTTTATTACCTTATTCAAAATTGGCCCAAATCAAACGTTCTGTATTTTTTCAAAACATTTGTTAATAAAAAGCAAATATAAATTTCTATTTTTTAACTTTACAAATTCTATTTTTACGTGTTTGAAAAGATATAGGTACATTAACTTCTTAAAATTATCTAAAATTAATTTGGTTGATGGTTTTATAAAATTTTAAAAGTATATTCTATCATACAATACTGTTAAATTTTTAAACTTGCTCTGTAGTTTACTGAATTGATATGCAGTTTTGATCGATTAATTTAGATACTCTCAACGAATGAGTAATGTATGTATTAACAATCATAATACTTCGGGTCAACAACGTCAACATTTTTTCTTTCACTTACTGATACATCGCAGAAGTAGTTTTGAATATAAATTTGGATTAAAAAAATATTAGTTTCATACAATTTGAACCAACATTGTTTTTCTCGTTTTATTTGAGTAGGCTAACGACTCTCTTTGGTTTAATTAAAAATGCTGCTCCTTATTTTTATTAAATTATATTTTTTCATAATAATTTTGTTAAATTATACTTGGTCTTAAAGATAAAAATATTAAAAAATATTTAGTTACAATTAATTTTTTAAATTATTAAATACTTAAATATGAGTATATAGATATACATGAGCAATATTTAACCATATTAAATTATAAATATAGTTTATAGATAAAAATATTAAAAAAAGAAGGTCAATATTTTAGTTTGTTAAATTATTATTTGAATGCGAACTACTTGAAACATTTATTTAATTATCTTCAAATATGTCAATAAATTGAGATATTTTACCAATTTCATATTGTATATTGTATTGTATGTGTATAGCATGTCGTAATTTTGAAAAATCTCATTTCTTTGTACATCAAATGTATTATATTTTAAGCATAGTTTGAAATCTTTATAACGTCAATTATTTAGATATATATATATAAAATTATATTGTATAAAAAATATATACAATATACATATCATGTAGCAACTAGTAAATATCGATCATTCGAATTATTTTTTTTTTCATTCGTTTCTCGTTATGCAACAATTTGAATTCATTAATCAATGTACCATGTACATGGCTTACCTGTAGATTACACCAATTGTATTTGACAACGATGAATAGAACGCATTTTGAAAGTCGATTGAACGTCAAGCCTCACGCGTTAACTGTTGTAGATATACGTATGACTTATTTGCCTAATAAAACGTTAAAACGTAGAATAACAATATTTGTAATAAAATAAATCACATGTATATTATGTAT